TCTCGGTTCGCATTTACTTTGAGCATATTATCTTTACTGCAAACCTCCTTTAAAGCTTACTGCTTTCTGCGCATATACGATCGGGTTTCAAGCTTTGCACTTTCGAATCAGCGTTTAGACGTAAATCTGTTTTTTCGTACAATCATCATATTTCAGTTTGCATTTACGTTTTGATTTCAATCATAACTGCAAACTGCCTTTATATACTTGCTTAAACCGCATCTCGCCTAATCAAGTGATTTACGAATCATCATTTAGACATAAATCAACTTCTTCGTACGAACGTCGTATTTCAGTTTGCACTTACACTCTGGTTTTCATCATAACTGCAAACTGCCTTCATAGATTGATTTTAACGTCATCTCACTTGATCTTAAGTTAAAGTAATCTTAGAATCGGCTTTCACACCGAAATCATTTTTATCGTTCGAACGTGCTTTATCGTTGTAAGATTTCTGCTGCACTAATTCACCCCCCCCCCCTCTTAGTGCTCTTGATCCTAACAGTACTACCATCGCCATAGGCATTTGTCGGCTAACTCAGGTGGTACCACCAGCCAACCCTAATTTAGGCTACCTATTTAGCCTTCTAATAGGCTCAATTCGGCCTAACTTCAAGCTTATTAGGTTTTCTTGATAAGTTGACATTATTTCGGTCCAATACTAACTCAAATTGACCTAAATGACCTCAATCAAAACTTTAATAAATCAACCACATATCCAGCACATTTACGAAGTTTTTACGTTATATGCTCTTCCAATATATCATCAGATCTTTCAATACTTTGTTCGAACCTCTAACACATCGCTCTTTATTTCAGTATATCACTCATTTTACCGATATATTAACTTTCCCATGACATCTAATCTTCCGGCACAATATCCGATCCTTCCGATATGATGCCAGAATCTATAGTACGAAGTTCGATCTCCGACACATCAACCAATCATTTGGCTAGACGTCCAATTTTTAACACTATAGTTCATCATCAAAATCCAAGATTCAATATATTTCTATAGATATCCCACAGGAAGGCAGCTAAGTAACTGACCTGAGTTGCCTTTTGGGTTTCTACTTTAGTGGATAGTAGAATATCGAACTACTATGGTGTTGGCTTGGGGAAGGGTGGCTAGTTGATTTTATATTCTCTATCAAATACGAATTATAAATATTAAAAAAACATAAAATGCTACTATTATGCAAAAAAAATTTAATGTTAGAATTAAAATCAAATAATAATATATTAGTTTTTCGATACGTACCTTTCAATATCATTCAGAAAAATCTTTATTTGATATGTAAGGGTACCGTCCTTGGATCCGAAAAGCATAGTGATGTCAATTTACAATGAGAACTAGACTCACATTCTCCTCTCTTCCTATCCTCCACAAGACCACTATGATCGATGGATTAGAGACAATGGGAGATAAGAGAAGATTTGTAATCTCTCAATGACTGATTCACGTGACTAAGAGGAGATGAAAGAAAATATATAATCACTCAATAATATTATATATCCACGTCTTTTAATCCCTATAAGATCTTATCTATTTATAAGTGAAAGTAGAGGGTCAAAAATAAGTACTCAGTAGAATCCCTCCCATTAAGATTATCTCCTAAAAAATCTTATCATAATTAAACTTTTTTTATTGATTGATATCTATCATTAAAATTTAATCAGATCTATAATATATCTTACATAATATTATACATTCTCACGTATTTATCACCTAGTTATGACTTAAAAAAAATTAGTGTGTTATCTAGATACTATACCTTTGACCGAGCACAAACTTCATTGCATATGGCTTTTTTTTAATTCCCTAGGACAACTCGAACAGTAACACTTCCACGTACTCTTTGAGAGCATCAACCCCTGTGGCCTCTTGCTCCCTCAGTGTCTCGTTCCCAGGTCTTCTAACTTCAATTTCACTATTATAAGTTCAGTCGAATTGTACCTCCTTAACAAATCACTAAGTTCGGTGAATTAGGAACAAAATTTAATTCCTTGGAGGTAACTCCTTAATTAAATTTTCATCCTGCAAATTATGTTCTTCTTCCATCATAATGTATGGCTGGTTATTAAACTCAACAATCTGGATCCGTGTTTCAGAGGCATATTCAATGACGCTCGAAACTTAGCCTTCTCTACCAAAGCTAGCAGGAAAAGCATAAAGATCTTATAAAGTATCTTTCGACAACTTTTACAAACAGGACACGGCAATCGCACTTCAATGACGATGTTAGATCATGTTCATTATATAGTCGAAAACCTGTTACCTCTGTGAAGCATTAATTTTCCTTCATTGTTTCTTCCTCGATAAATTCTTCTCATAGACAGATGTCAACACGTAGCCCTCCGGTAAGGCAAAGGGAAAATGGATTGGTTCAAGAATTTAAAGTGAGAATATGATATCACAAAAAATATTCAACTCACAGGAATACTGAATGCAAGAAAATGGATTGTTTCAAGAATTTAAAATGAGAATATGAAATCACAAAAAATATTCGACTCACAGGAATACTGAATGCAAGAAAGATCTTCAGTGGCGTTCATACAAATCCAGTTTGACATCGCAAAGCCATTTTTTATCAAACACTGACTGACTGACTATATGGAGTTATCTGACACTTAATACCTGCCGGCAATGCATTGTTTCATTGAAAAATGAAAGCAACACCTGGGTGATTTCAAGTCATAAAAGATCCATACTTCAATTATTGTAGAACGATGTTGCATGCTTGAAAAAAAAAATATATTATGAATGGGGCTCTATAGCATCGCTATGTCCCCAACACAATGATGAGACATTGCACCAACTATCCTGCATCTTCGACTCGAATTGCGATAAATCTTTAACATTGAGACAAAGTATCATAGGGATGGTAAGTTTGAGGATGATCTTGTGTGACCAAATATGCTGCACAATTGATGAGATTTCACATGTTGTGCAGGTAAATCAAAATGCAGATCCACCACCTTTGGTCTTTCCAAGCAGGACATCTTTTGCCTCGTTAATCTTGGAAGCAAGGTAATGACTTCCTCCTGCATCTGGATGGTTAGCAACCATAACCTTTTTGTGTGCTTCTTTTATTTTGTCTGGAGGGGCATTTTCCCTGTAACAAAAAGTAGTTCTCAGTCAGAATAATGAAAACTATATAACAAAAAAAATGTGGCTGAAATTGGAAATTTTCAGGTACAAAGGGAGGCAGAACATGGTATTGACAGGAAAAATTGCTTGCACGAAAATAACCAGCCAGGTTAAATAGAAATATGATTGTAAATTTTATAGAAGGAGCCTGTTAGGAATTAGCTTTCAAAATCTGAAACTACTTAAGCTAACTTGACAGGCAAACCTGAAACTCATTGGTAATAACTAATGAGTCGGACCACATTATGATGAGCATAGACCATAAAGATACAAACTACTGATATTTATTCCAGTATAGATCCCTGATAAAGCATAACTACAAACTATTAGTGAGAAATCAAAATAAAGAAAATATAATAGCGGCACAGAAATGTCACTAAGATGATAATGTATTATTTACCAAATGCAAAGTGACAGGCAAAACTCCTAATAGAGAGTTTCATTCAAGCTACTACCAGATCCCAGCTTTCAAGATCTAGATAAAAGCAAATGGCAAGTTTCTCTTCATATTCCTTTCAAAATACAAAAAGGTTTCTGACTTTCCCCAAGCAAAAAAAAAAAAATCAATAACCAGACATTATAAATCATTGCTTTCTGCGGAAACTCAACAAACCACCAATACACCATTATCAATGTGTACATAATACATCCACAATCTTTCTTGTGGATCATATTCTACCTTGTGCAAGTGAAAGAAACTTCATTGCTTACAGTACAATTTGAATGAAGTATAGTCATATCTTGCATGGCTATTCCATGTTACCATTACAATGTCAAACATCAAGCATCACCTTCTTCAGCCCAAAATATCAAGATCTTTCTAATGAAACCTGAATCTAAAGCTGAGTCAAGGATACTATCCTTGTCTGAGATTCTGTCCGTCTGATCCTACAAAGATAATATAATGACAGGAGACCACCTACGATCTATTAAATGACAGTTTGTGGGATGGAAATAATATGGCTGCCTTGGGGAAGTAGAATGTAGAATGTCAACCTGGTTTTTCACATATGTACATAGCAAGATTTGATAACTTGCTGTTGCAACAAATACAGAAAGCATGTACTTCCACAAAAATTGAAAAGTTGAGACCAGGTTTATCTTCTTCTTTTCTAATTTATTATGCATACCTGACACCAAGAATAAGGGCAGCTTCTCTTCTTGTCATAGTAGGCTGGAAGCCCCCTTCATAGAACTTACGCATACGAGGAACTACCGGCCGAGCCTTGTATGCCTGCCAAGCTTGGACACCATATCTACCAGCAAGAGCAGCAGCAGCAACTGCTAATCCTGCTAGTAAAGGTAAAACCTGCAAGAAGAGCCAAATTATAAGAAGGATTAAAGCATAAAATAATCCAAAAATATTGATGAAACATGCATCTACATCAGCCAAATTATTGATCTAATGAAAATAAAGACCGTAAAACCTATTCTGTAAGATTGATATATACATTCTATAGAGGATCAACCCTAAAGGCCTTGCTCCAAAATAACTCCAATATGGCATATTCTATACACCAACGGTGGTTTCAAGTCTTATTTCTGTAATAATTTTCCTTGTCCATTTTCACTTGTCAAAACATAGTATTGAGATCCAGCCAACACTTCAACAACCACGTGAACAAGTTCCTACTCTGAGGTTTCCAAAATTAGCTGATTTTGCCCGGTGTTTAGATCAATACAAAGGCAAAAGATGTTTTATCCAACAGTCTTTATCCTTTTATCTCCGATCAAGGCGCCATTTGTCTTCCTCTCTTTCGCATGAACCTCTAACTTGATCTATTTCAACATACGTAGTGCCTTTTAACACCTTGTTTGGATTTCTAAACTACCTCAAATAAATTTTCTTTAACATAAGTAATTTTGGACAGGATATATTTATATTGAGATGTTTAGCAGAAAATAATTTAGAAAAGGTATCCAAGTACATGAGGCAGACACTGTCTTACTCCTGGTAACAGAGATTATTTCCAATAACTCACATCTTAGTTCATTAACAACAAACATATGAAAGAAGTAACTGACGCAAAGCAGGCAAACAAAGACTACTTATTAAACTAAATGGCAACTGAAAATTGTTTTGTTTTTATCATCAAGAAGTCGTCGCTCTAGCTAGTCATCAGTACTAATCAGTATTTGTAAAAAATCCAATTTGAAGCATACGCATCAACATCAGAATTTTTTTCCTAAATCATGAACTTGTAAAAACATTAACCAAAGTAGCAGGGCGTGATAAATCGAAACCCTATACACAAATACTTCCGAGATACATGCCGTATCTCGTAACACACTGAACTACTACTCATTGACCTATGGTCTTGGTGGATGACAATAACCAGATGACTAAATCAAGGATGATATCCAAAGGAGCAAATAGAACAATCCCAACGTGAATTTTGCATCCCGAGCGAGCTATCATGAAAGAGGTAATAATCCTTCAACAACTGACCCTCGAAGAGATTGCCATCTAACAAAGACTGCAAGCGAGAGAAACAAAAGCAATCTTCCACAACAACACACGTATAAATCATCGCCAATTCCTACAGATGTTAAAATCTAGAAGGAAAAAGCTTTTGCAATTACATTATCAGAAAGAGATCACATAAGAATAGATGCTTCTTTTCACAGAAGGAGTTAAAAAAATCACTAATCAAAACCCTCAAATCCCACACATTTTCGAGCAAGAACAAGCGGGAAAAGAAGAATCAAACAACTCACCATTTCCAAAGGGAATCTACCGCTAATCCCACGATAAACATCGGCAAGAGCTCCCAAATCGCCGATCGTCCATCATACCCGCTTCTCTGCTTCGATCGACACCACCTAGGGTTCTGACACCGCCTGCTCTTCTTCGACCACAGAAGAACCGGTCCGGCCGGTAGATTAGTTAAACCCAACCGGAGACTCAAGAAGGCCTACGGTTAATAGACGTGGCAAATTTTGATCCGCACGATCTTGAATGCAGAAGGCCCAAAATTATGGAGATTAAAAATATGCAGAGGACGACGACTGTTAGCAAGAAAATTTTCTCTAATAATGTAGAAGTTATAGGTTTACGAGACACTGACTGAACACAAGCATTACAGTAGTAGATGCAAAAAGCTTTCTGGTTCTCTCTTATCACAGCCTTTACGTAGTCTATATATCTTTATAAATGTGAAGATTTAACTTTAGAAAATAATCTTTTACGGCCGAGTGATAGAAGAAGTTTGTTTACTGAGTATTCTATCTGGAGTGAAAATTATTGGAAAGCTGAACTTTTGAACTCTGGAATTGAGTAGTGAGGATCTCAAAGTTAATTATTGAATCCGATGCTTGTGCACTGGTGGCTAAAACTTGGAACAGAGAGAAAACTCTCATTGGAGGAGTCTTTTGGAAGTATTTATTTTATTTTATTTTATTTTATTTTAATTATTAGGTTCATTAATTATAAATTTACTCATATATATTATGAGGATAATAATGATAGTGCTCATTGATTAGCTAATCAGATTAATTTTCTAAAAGTTCTATTACTTGAATATATGATTTGCCTTCAGAACTATGGTCTATTTTAGTATGAATATTTTTCAAGAGGCTCTTAAAATTATAATATAAATATATTTTTTGTGACAATCTTATCATTGTGGAAGAGGATGATTTAAACAGATATAATCTTGAGATCCAAGGGCTGGAGCCATGCAAAAGTGATTTCAAGGAGAAGAAGCTTTTCTGTGAATTGGTAAATGGAATTACCGAGAGTCAAATCTAATCTTGTTCATGCTCAAGATCTTGAAAATTCTCAGATAATAGGCAAGAAAATAAAAAAGAAGAAGAAGAAGAAGAAGAAGAAGAAGAAGAAGAAGAAGAAAAACTCAGCTTTGTGTCATGACGAGTATAAACCGAGGGGGAAAGCAATTGGCTAGGTTGGAGAGCAACCTGGAAGAGGAGTCCACGTTTGCGCCAGCCATGTCTCCTCCGCAGTAGATGATACCGCTGTCTGCCAAAGCTGCGAGTTCTGTGAACCCTAAACGACAGCGGCATCATCTCTCCTGCGAAGGAAACCTTCTTGGTGCCTTATCCAGAGAGAGAGAGAGAGAGAGAGAGAGAGAGAGAGAGAGAGAGAGAACAGCAAGGACTCCATAAGACCACAATTATCTTAGCATGCCTTGACACCCCCAGCCGAGATCAGGTGCCTGATATCAGCTCAGCAGCATCACGGACACAGATAGAAAGCAATGACTGCATTGTGATAGGCATGGCATGAAACTATAATGCCAAGAGTGCCTCGTGTGCTATTGTGTTCGTGGATGACCCAGGATTCCAGGCAAGTAGTGAGTGGAAAAAAGATGCATGGAGAGTGGGGGTTTTGCATCGAGGTAATGTCGGCTGAGGCTGAAGCTGAAGCGACTGTGTTCCAAGTCATGACATGGCCTGGAGGCGCATAGAGACCGCAACCCATACATAGTTCGACAAGTGGATGAGGATCGATGGCCGGTGCTTAAGAAACGAGAGGGAGAATCATGAAGGGTTTTGATTAATCTTATTTGCTTTAGCTGCGATGCTTCATGATCCTTCGGCATAGATTATATTGCCCAATCTGCTAGATTACATTTGTTGATAAACTGATGCATCGTGGCTGATGAGTCAGCACAGCCTAGTTCGTGGGTCGATGTCGGGAGTTTTCGGCCAGGTGGGCTGGTTGACGAGATCGATCATGCCCTCCATATGGGGTGCTTGGGTCGGAATGTTGAAAACACCTCTCTCGATCGGGATGGTCTCGCATTGGGGAGATCCACTTTCCTGCACAAAAGACCCCCGTCGAGTGTTTACCGACTGTGGCCCCTCCGACGAGTAAGTTAGTGGTGGGTTGATCTCTCTCTCTCTTTCTTTTTTTGTCCCCCCCGGGGTGGATGCCAGCCAATGGTTTTTATACTACTGTACGAGGGTCGGTCGTACGCGGGTTTGGCATGGTGACCGATCCTCGAAAGGTGAGATGGTACCTTTGTGTAGCCGTCGTCCCGGGCTTTTCGGGATGGGACATACCGAGCAACGCCTTGGTATGGATTCTGGCTTGGCACGTGGGGGTACTCCTCTTGCCGACTTGGCTGTAGAGTGGCATGATGTCGGTGGTGGCATGGTTGGGACCCTCGAGAGGGTGAGGGGTGCGCTTGGGTCAGAATTCTACGGCTGTGTTGATTGCTTGAGAGGCGAGGCTGGATTGGCTCGTCGTGAGGCAGTTCGGGGGCGACGCCCTATGCTTTGGGAAGGATTTGCACCATCGGTCGGGTGGTTGGGCCCATACAGGATGATGTTGGCGAGTTGCTGGCCAAGAGACCAAGCTATGTGAGCCGGGAGGAGACGACCTGTTGGCCGAGTAACTGATCTCGGGCTCAAGCTTGTGGCTAGCAAGTCGCAAGTCAGAGGACCGATCTAGCGCGATTAGGATGAAGACTAGGCCTGTGGGCTGAGGGTCTGCACTCGGGCTCAAGCTGGAATGGCGAGTCGCAAGTTAGAGGACTGATTTGGCGTGACTCGGATAAAGACTGGCTAGTCCCAAGTTGGGAATCGAACTAGCACGACTAGGATGAAGACTGGGCCTATGGACTGAGGATCTGCACTCGGGCTCAGGTTGGACTAGCGAGTCGCAAGTTGGAGGACCGATTTGGCGCAACTTGGATAAAGACTGGCGAGTCGCAAGTCGGGGACCGATCTAGCGCGACTAGGATGAAGACTGGGCCTATGGGTCGAGGGTATGCGCTCGGGCTTAGGCTGAACTGGCGAGTCGCAAGTCAGAGGATCGATCTGGCATAGCTCGGATAAAGATTGGCTAGTCGCAAGTCAAGAACCGAACTGGTGTGACTAAGATGAAGACTAGGCCTGTGGGCCGATGGTCTACACTCGGGCTCAGGCTGGACTAGCGAGTCACAAGTTGGAGGATCGATCTGGGGCGACCCGGATAAAGACTAGCTAGTCGCAAGTCGGGAACCGATCTAGCACGACTAGGATGAAGACTGGGCCTATGGGCCGAGGGTCTGCACTCGGGCTCAAGGTGGACTGGCGAGTCGCAAGTCAGAGGACCAATCTGGCGT